CTTCAACTAGGTTTCTTTTTTTCGTAAACCCTGGAAGGCATCCTGGAGATTATGCATTGCTAACCTGGCCAGTGTCAGAATCATCTTCTCCAAGTGTAAGTGCTTTCTGTCAAGGTTAGCCAGTTGAACTATGACTGCAAGTGGCCCTCAGAACATCATGTGTGGCCCTTGAGCAGAGAAGAGAATCTTATAAATTGTATTGATACTATGACTAAAAGTAATCACATCTGAAAAGACCGAAAATTATATTGCCATCGATGCAGGAAGAGATTTTCTACATAGGCCAACGTGAGGAAGGCAGACAAGGCACAGCGAGTGAAAAGCCCAGAACCGCGAGTCCCAAGTTGAAGACGGAGGTACGCAAACTAGGACCTACGAACGTGATGCAGGGTGTGTGCGCGATATGTATGCTTGTGTGGACACATTAATACACGCACATGCACACACGTTTTTTGATATTAGATTACAATGGTCAGAGAAGTTGAGGATTTGCTTTGTGCACAACACTAGGCCAGTGGTCTAAATAGTCATCTGTGCTTACAAACAAGGAATGATTAAACCAGCAAATACTTCCGTGTCATTCATTTAGCAGTATTTATTGAGTAGCTACAATGTGTAGACATTGTTCTAGGCACTTGGAATAGTGAACTAAAAATCTTAAGGCTTCCCTGCCACCAGCTGACTGAATGGACCCCCTCTTGGCCAAAGGGACACCCTAAAACTGACTTGCCTGCCATGAGGAGGAAGGTCAGACATGCCTCATCACGGCCCCCCTCCCTTCTTGGAGGCATCCTTTGGAACTCATTAGCAGGCCTACGGCCATGCAAGACAAACCTGCAGGTCCTCAATTTACACAACAAACACATGGCCCAGTAGCTAGTCTCTGATTAACAGACTTCCTTAAAACGTTCCAAGCCTTTAGACAAAAGCTTCATTTTTTAACCAAATACAAGTCAAAGGGTCTTTAAACCCACCTGTAACCTGTAAACATCCCCCCTTTGAGATGTCCTATCTTTTTAGGCCAAACCAATGTATGTCTTCTATGTATTGATTTATGACTTTATGTGTGATTCCCGTGTCGCTGAAATGTATAAAACCAAACTGTAACCCAGCCACAGTGAGTCCACTTGCTGAAGGCTTCCTTGGCGTGGCTCCAGGTCATGGTCCTCAAATGTGGCTCAGAGTAAACCTCTTCAAATTATGTTATAGTTTGGCTTCTTTTCAGTTGACAGAGTATAGCAGTAAATCAGACAGACAAAAATGTCTGTCGTCTGCAGAACTCATGTTCTAGTGGAGCGGCCAATCAGAGTAAATGCCCGGATGAGATGGTGTGGGTGCAGCACAGGGCATGAGTAGTTAAACTGTGCCTATATTTTGAAGAATACAAAATCTACATTACCTATCAAACAGGTGTTAGGTTTGTTCCAGGTGGAAACTCCAAAAGCATGTACAGGACAGAATGTGGTTAATGCAAAACTTAGGCTTGCAAAACAGTAGCCGCAGGAGTGTGGAGAGTCCCCCCCATGTTGTACATCTAACAGACAGCCGTACAACTAACAGACAGCCGCAGCCAGCACTCCTCCCCCTCCCCATGGGGATGAAGTTTTCCCCTCCCTCTCTTTCCTGATAAGGACAACACAGGAGCTGAAGGATGATGTGACTGCGACAGGGGTCCTAGGAGCTGGTTGTTTGAAAAAAATTAATTACAAGCGGCTGTTCTGGCCACTTACTTATTCCCCTCCGCTGGAAAAACCCTCTATAAAACCCAAGGCTCTCCTCATTTCTCTCGTGGACGCTCTGGCCTCTACCCATCTGCACCCAGATGCTCAAAATAAATTTTTTGCCGCAGCATTTTGCCGCACCATGAGGCTTAGTGTGTCTCTCTCTCAGCTCCAGACCTAACGACAGGATTATTGTGAGGATAACATGAGAAGAAATAGTTTGAAAACTATAAAACCCTATAAAGCATATGATCGGATCTCTACTAGTCAGTCAGCATTTGTAATAAATACTATTCATATAGAGATTCAACAAGTGTTTTCTGAGTGCCTCATGAAACAATCAAGTAAGGACTATTTGAGGGGAGTAAGGGAGGATGGGAGGAGGATGCAAATACATTTTGATTAAATTGTAATTAGTGAATTGTCTGCGGTTCTATTTTAACAGTCTCTAAATCACAGAATCAAGACACCAGGACTCTTTTCTAGATGTATTCTACAAAACCTAGAAAACAGTGTTAAAAAGGTTGATTAAAAAAAATTTTTAGGCAAGTTAAAAAATGTTAAGGGAAATGCACACACTAGTGCCTATGGAGTGAGAGATTATAGGTAGAATAAGTCCTGGAAAATAGGAGATAACTACATCCAATGAATATAGAAATCCACTTTTTCTAGAGGAAAAATTATAACCACTATGTAAGTTAGAACATAGATCATTTTAAGCAAAAGCTCTCTGACAAAAGGTGCCAGCTGCAAGCACAAAAAACATGGCATCTCCTGCACTCGCATTAAATTAAGTACCTTTCTTTACAAGCAAAACCTAACAAATGGGAGACAAATGCTGCAAGGACAGATTTTGGAGTAAGGCAATGCCTTCCAGCAGCAACAGAGCAACAGCATTAGGAAGCAGCCTGTAAACCTCCCCAGTGAAGGCTCTGCCATTCTCTGTTTGTTACTGTCTCCCTCCTTGATGTGTTTTTCTGTTGATTTTTTTTGTTGTTCGATAGATTTTCATCTGGTGGACCTGGTCACCAAGGAAGGACTTGCTTGTAAATTGTAAAATATTAACAGAAGGATTCACGGAAAAGGCAGAACTGTCAAAAGGGCATTGGTATGTTTCACAATAGGTTTTTACAAAACAGAAAAAAATTTAAGAAATCCTTTCAGGTGATTCATATGCATGCGTAAGTTTAAGAGTACTGTTTTACAACACAATGTACCAGCTCTTGTATACACTAGGAGAAAACCTAATAAAAAAAATCCTATTTATTCTTTTCTACCTAAGAAATTCAATTGTTGCTTGTGAAGCTTATTCTGGTCTATCATCAGAGTTCTTGGTCAACCCTCATTTTATTTACATGTATAAATACAAAATACTTATGTAATATTTTATCTACCTATCTGTCAAGAACGAGTTATCAAAATAAACAGCCCAAATGTATGCTACAAATAGGGATTTACAATTATCTTACATCAAAAAATGAATGTTCACAATCATTTTATCCTGCAACAAAATGCCTATTTGCCAGAAAAGTCAGTCCACATTTTAGAATAATTTCTACCATGTTTAATAAATACATATATATGAGCATATACGAGCATATGTATATATATGTGTATATATGTAAACATATATACAAATATACAAGCACACACATGTATGTACATAAACACACATACAATTTGGGCCTTTAAGGAGCTAAATATCTATCTATGAAATGTGGCCGTATGGTCTCCTTAAGATTAGAGAGGGCAAAGTTTCACTGTATTTTTATTTCTTTGAAAACATCAATTTATTCAAGATTGAAACAATGTCAACATTTCAACATTAGAAAAATCTGTAACTATTATTACGAAAAGAGACTTTAGTCTCTGAATCATGGATCCCCAAACTGAGGAATACTGCCCAACCATACTAATTAGATACTTGCCTACCTTATTCACTAAAAATCAAAAAACATTTATCCAAATGTGTGCTGCTAACCAAGTTTGAAAAATATATTAGAATTAGGGAAATAAAGTTCAATAAATAAACATTGAATGAACAAATTAATGTACTTTTTTTTAAAGGGGGAATAAACTATCTCACGTTTAAATTACTGTTTTTTAAAAGGGGAAAAAGGATAAGTCCCCTTTTCATTTCAGATTCAACTATCAGTGAATTCTTCATAAATTCTGAACTTCAGTGCTCATGACAGAGTGACTAGTGTATCTAGGAAAGGACTTCTGACTATGAAGTTTTAACTGTGATCCTCAGGAAGCTATTTCAAGCAGCGCCTGTAACTCCTGTAACTTTGACTACCTGTTCACAATTTAATTACTTATGGATAAAACTACCCTACCCTCAAACTGTAGTAGGAGTTCACTACATCTACCATCTTTTATCTGCTCTGCTTCCTCTTTCACCATAGGAAAACATTTATCTGATAGAAGATGCTATAATTTGAATGTTTACATCTCTCCAAAATTCATGCTGAAGTTTAATCTCCAATACGATAGAGACGGGGCCTTTAGGAGGTGATTAGGTCATGAGGGCTCCTCCCTTGGCAATGGGATTAAGAACTTCTCTCTATGTATAGACGTAGATATATAGATTGATTGAAACAGGGTTTTGCAGTCGCCTGGGCTGGAGTACAGGGGAGCAATCATAGCTCACTGCAACTTCAAACTCCTGAGCTCAAGTGATCCTCCTGCCACAGTCTCCCAAGTAGCTAGAACTATAGGCATGCATCACCGTGCCTGGTTAATTTTTAAATTTTTTGTAAAGGCGGGGTCTTGCCATGTTGCCCCGTCTGGTCTCAAACTCCTGGGTTCCAGTGATCCTCCCACCTTGGCCTCCCAAAAGTGCTGGGATTACAGGTGTGAACCACCACACCTGGACAGATTAAGACCCTTAAAGAGGCTTCACGCAGGGTTTGCCATTGGCCTTTTTAGCCCTTCCATCTCTTTCGCCATGTGAACATATAGCATTTAAGGCACCATCTTAGAAGCAGACAGTCTGGCCCTCACCGGACACCAAACCTGCTGGTGCCTTGATCTTGGACTTCCCAACCTCCAAAACCATGAGAAATAGATTTCTATTATTTATAAATTATCCAGTGTCAGATGTTTGTTAAAGCAGCACAAACAGACTAAGATAGAAGAATATTCAGAAAGTGTAATATTTCACCAGGCCCTTTAATTTCTCCTATAAACCAAAACACTCAAAGAAATAAAGAAAGAATCTATTATTTTCTATCATGAAAATGTGATATTTATATCTATGATGGAAAAAAAGAGATGTTTACTTCAAAATTATTTTAATGTAGAAAAACACCTTGGAAGAAAAAAACACAAAATATATAGGCAAATTTTTACTTCATGAGCTTCTCAAACCCTCACTTGTTCACCAATCCCTAAGATGAAAAACACTCTTCCAAAATGTATTCAGCCACCACTGTAAAAGAAAGAAAAATGGTCATTTCTGAGCATTTACAAGATTTTCATAATAATCATTTGAAATCCAATATGGTGTAATTTTAAGGACTCAGGACCAATTATTTGAAAATCACCTAACTTTATCCCAAGATAGCATAAAATAAAGGCACATTGAACTTTAAAATCTTAGAACTGAAAAGGTCCTTAGAGATGATGTGGCTACTGAAACAGGTATATTTTAAAATTCACAATGCTCATTTGGGAAATTCATGCTTATTTGGGAAATGCCATTTTGGAACAGTCTAGCATAATGTCTCTCTGAACATGACAAAAAATATGAATTACATGATAGGATGGTCAATTGAGAAGCTTTTCAATTTCATATACAGTCAACAAACCAGTTGAAATTAGACTGTAGACAAGCACAGTCTTGTGCTTGTGCAACCAATATATCTTACGATAGTCATTCAAACACCTGGTTTAATCATAAAAACAAAAACCACCTTTTCCACAGAAGAACTTCCAAGTTTGAAAAGCATAAATGTTAAAATTGTATACTCAGATATACATTTTAGTACTACAATGTTAAACAAAAGTAATTCCATTATTAGATGAAAATTATCAAATTATTCCTGAATATATACCCCTGAATATATACTTCAATGCTAAGTATTTTAAGTGCGTATGTTATTAAATAGTATTGCTGTAATTAAAACACAGCAAATGCATAACTCCTTTAAATTATGATACTGTGGACATTAACTTTGACTGCTATTATTGTAAAGCAAAAGAAGAAAAAAAAAATCATCACAAGAAAAAAACATGACAACAATTCAATCTAATGAAAAAGAAGCCTATGGTTATATTTCCCTTGCTATTATCTCAAAATGATTTAAACAGTGATTTGTGCTTTTTCAAGTAGAGAAAAAAAGATTTCTTTGTTTTATAGCTGTCATGGCATAACATGAAAAGAGTTAAGTTTTCTGTAGCCTTTCTCACAAAATGTTTTAATTGGCCTTTAAGGTAAAAAATATCTAAAGATAGATTTTCAACTCAAATACTGAAATAATTTTTTAACTAGAAGAAAAGTTTTCTACGCAACTAGCTTCCAAAAGGTTTTATATGCTGCTCTATCACTTACAACCTGTGCAACATGAGTAAATCACTTAATCTCTCTGTGTCTCAGTTTCTTCATGAGGATTAAATGACTTGACTCACACAGAGCAGAAACAGTTCCCAGCATATGGAAACATTCTCAGTAAATGTTAGCTATTATTATTATCGTCATCACCATTAGAAAAAGGCAAAAGACTGTAAGATGTTCACTTAATTAAATAAACACTTATTGCTTTTAAGGGATGCTTTTATAGGAACTGGACTAGGTTCTATAGGAGATACATATAATATAAATAATCAAACAGGTTTGCCTCAGAACTCATAATCTAATGTGAAAGACAGGTATATCTAAGTATGACTGAAGGCAGACGGTTATGTCTGGCAAGAGAGACAAAAATATAGTGCTAAGTGAAGGCTGGGGAAAAATTTTGAAAGATGCTTATATATCAAAAAAATGAAAAAGACAGGCTTACATTTTGATCTGGAGGGTAAAACTGACAACAATGAAGGGTGATTATCACAGGAAACTAATTTTGTACCAATTTAAAGAAACACTTAATATCCATTAAACCGGGCCATGAAGGAATGGGAAAGAAGAACAGAAGCACAGACTATGAAAAACAAGGGACCTGACAGAGACTAAACCACCCCTTCTTTCCACAGATTCGGTAACTGGAGCCCAGAGGCAGTCTCAGGTTTCCTAAATACTACAATTCCACAATTCCACAGTTGGCAGTTCTCACTAGCAAAATAAAAGGAATTCCTGAACTGACAAAGGAGTTCTGAATGACTCAGTCCTATCCAGCTCTAACTCCTCATGATCCTAAAATATCACTTTGTGGCATTTCTGCTTTATATAGTAACTATGGTAACCTGCTTACGAAATTCCTGACAATATGCATTCAGTTACTTGTCATTGAAAAGACAACCTTCACCAGTATCAGTGATAAAATGCCTAGTATTTAAGAAATTTATAGTTTAGAAAGCTTTTTTAAAATCATCGCTTCGAACTTCACCACTCCCTAAAATAAGCCTAATAGATATTACTACCTCCAAATGGCAGATGAGGCAGAGAGATTAAATGAATATAAAATCAGAGTAAATTTACTGAAACTTACACCAAGTCTTTATACTAAACTGAATTACCTGCTATACTCTAACTGCTCAATGCCATAAGGTATCCCAGTGATTTGTAATGAACTTAAAAAAGCAAAAGTATTTGGAAAAGAATAAAGTAATCTCAATGTTCTCAGACGTTTTTTCTCCTCTCTAACATACTTAAAGGTTATGATATCATCCTATCAATATCAATGGCTCATTACAATAACAACTTCCACTTAAGTTCTTACCAAATTTATTTTTAGGGCCTTATATGACTTCAGTCATAATCCAAATAAGAACTATTATCCTCATTGAATAAAGTGGGCACAGAGAAGCTAAGCGAATTGCTCATGGCCACAACAGCTACTAATAAGAAAAAGGATGTGAATCTACATGATCTGATCCAGAGACAGAACTCTGTCACCAAAGTGATTTTTAAGTGGGGAGCATTTCCTCTACACCTTAAAAATGAACAAGATATAGCATAAGGAGGTCTCGGATTTGAATATTAGGTCTGTCACTGAATACTTGCTTTGTGACATATTGAGTGCCTTTAACTTACTAATACTTTCTTGACCTTGTAAAATTTTATTTATTATAGAAAATAGTGCCTAGCTCACAGAGTTGCTGTAAAGATGAAAAGCACTTTGAAGTAGTAGGTACTCAAAAAATACCAGTAGACTTGAACAGCACTAAAAAGTCAAGAGACATATCTGTGTAGTAATGAAATAGCAGGCTAACTGTCAACTCACATGGTTTCAATTTTCATTTGATCTTAGACAACAGTCCATTCACAAAGTTTACTTACACAATGATGTTATTAATAGGGATGTGGATCAATTTCACAAAGAAGCCAATGAATCCCATTATGGCAAATCCTATTGCTGTTGCCATGGCAATCTTCTGGAATTCTGCATTTAAAAACACAAAACTCACATTATTTTTTTTATACTGTCACTGAAAGTATGGGGAAAAAACCATCAGTAACATAAAAAAACTGACTAGCATACATTTCTCCTGATAAGTAGATACATAATTTTTTAAAAAGAAAAAGTGAACTACTGATAGTAAACAACTTACAGGTTTTGAAATTTCCATATTTTGTTGATATTTAAGGAGACACAGAAATAATAGTGTATGTCTGTGTTAGTGAATTCATCAATAAGCACTGAAAACATTTGATCTTCTTAGCAAAAAACCAGAATTAAAAAAAAAAAATCATGAATGGAAGGAATATGAAAATATTTCTCTTAAAAATTATTTAATGCAACGTAATTTTTATTGTAACATATTGATAATAAAAGCAGAAACATACTTTTTTGGTACATCATAAACAATGGATCCAGTGTCATTGACAGTATGATGAAGACAAAAATAAGGCTTAAAAAGTCAAACTGGGTTAAGCACAATTTTATAAAAAGGCTTCAGAGCCTGGTAATGTTTCGGTTTTATGTTATTTCCTCAGGGAAGCTTTCCCTGACTTCCTGACTTGGTTAGTCCTCCCATTAAGTGCTGTCAAACTTCCTTCTAGTTACCTTCCATAATACTTACCACAGCAGTAATTAAAAATATAATTGCAATCATTTACTTATGATGGTCTTCCCTGATACATTCTAAGTTCCATAAGAGCAAGGACTATTCTCTATTATATTTATTCATATTTAGCTGTATATTACACATATTGTCTATTATATTCCTAACTCAGTCAATGAATAAAAGTATCCAAATTCTGGTGTACCTTTTAACACATGAATCATGTTATATAACAAAATAAACTTTCTAAGTTGGCAACAACTATATTAATTGGCATCATGTTAAGGTTTTGTTCGTTGAGGAGGGAACACAGCAGGAAAGACTCTAAAGATTTCCCAAAGTGGAAATATGCAATATACTAAAAACTCTAAAGTGATAAAATATGACTAACTCAAATGTAACATAGAAAATAAGGCTGAAATAAATAATCTTATGCCATTTGGAAATCCATAAAACAGAAGAATTTAGACAACAAAGAGTATATAAAATTTAGAAGAAATGACAATTTTAAAAAAGTAATGAACCAAAATAAATCAACAAAAATGTTGATGAACGTAATGCAACAGTTATTAATCAGGAAAATGTTAATCAAATAAAAAACTTAGAAAATGCTGATTTAATTTTTTCTCTCGTGTTCAAGCTATTACCTTTTCTATCAGGTTTCGTGCATCTTTTAACCAGCCGAATCGAGTCCTTTACAAACTGCCGACTTGGCTCAACAAACTGCATTACCTGATCCATGATGGCCTATTTAAAAAAACAAAAAAGGAAAAAAAATATTCACTGGTATTAATTATCATATAACAAGGACTTGCTCAGTTATATCAAGATGTAAATGAGACCAGCCATGAATTCATGCCTGATATGGGTCAATTTCATCTCATGAAATAAAACAAAACTCCAACGCCTAAATTATTTTTGTAAATTCCAGTAAAGCATCAGATCAAAGGCAATAAGAAAAGCACAGATCTTACTCATATTATCCCCATTAACAAAGGACCACATACTCTTAATACAAAAGGGCTATCTCTATTAAAAGGTTAAACAACTGACAACACATCCATGCCTTACTCACTCTGCAGTCCTTTCACTGTCCTTGATAAGGAACCAACAACGTTGGGATACAACAACTGTTTCCTGTATTTTAAACTATCCATAAATTAGTGTCTAGTACAGTGAATGCCAACTACGCTGCTGCAAAAGCCTAGAAGAGAGGCAAATGTGGATTTTAACCTGAGTGTTCCAAAACATGCCCATATAACACATTTAGAGAACAGTGTATTGTGTGGGATTGATAAAGACATAGATGAAATTTTCAAAAACCACAAAAATTGGCTAAAGCAAGATCCAGATTCCGAGCAGTTATTAGCTCAACTCCAGACTGTTAGGTTTGAACATATCTTTTAAGTAAACAGGTTATCATACAGGTTCTTTTGAAGAACCTATTATTACCCAATAGAACTATCATTCAATCTCAGTTTTGAGAGCCACTGATATAAGTAATGAGGCCAGAGTATTTCTTGTATTTTACTCTATTTCCAGTGCTTAGAACAGTAGCCAGACGGTGGTTCAGATCACTGGCTACGAAATGCAAACCTCTCTAAGTCCCAGTGCCCTCGCCTAGGGTGAATAGTGGATGACTGAATGAAATATTGTATGTGAAACACTAAGAATTCTGTAACATCCCGGGACAAAAACACAGGAATGCCTGTTCTCTCATTATTTCACTTATTTTTCTTCTTGAAACCCAAAGGACTTAAACTTTTCGTAATTGTAAAAGTCACAATGAAAGCTAAGGACTCCTTCTTCAGAAAAAAAAATGCAAATTACCCAAAATACTGCACTCAATGTCAGGAAAAGATATCCAATGATCTCTTGATCTAGAATCTAGGCCAATCGTCTCACTTTACACCACGGAGTGTTGGCAAGCCCCGGGCTGAATACAGCTTTTTCAAGACAGGACTCTACACACATACACCCTCAAAGCCAACCCCGAAGGGATCCCGGTGGCAGGCCACCGTCTCTGACTACAGCACAGAAGACACTGGAAGCCCCAGAACGTAAGAGTGCAGACGGAGTGGCAGAAGACGACGAGCAGGAGAAAGGCGAACCCTAGCCAGGACGCTAAGCCCCGAAGGACCACGGGCCGACGATGCACCTCTCCCTCGGGTGACCGCGGCCCTGCCTGGGTCTTTCTTCAACCAGAGGCCGTGCAGATAGGTACGCCGGAGACCGGAGGGGCCGGACCCTGGCCTCGGCCCTGAGCGAAGGGTTTCGCTCCCCGACCGCCCCGGGAAAGCCGCCCGGGGAGAAGGCCTCCGCGAGTCACAAGGGCCTGGCCGCCCCGTTCGCCCGTGCCCACCCGCAGGAAGACCCTCACCTGTCCAGCTGCCACCTGTGATGCCAGGGACACGTAGCACAGGAACGGACAGGCAGAGGCCCACCGGAACCGGAAAACGGGGCTCTGGCAATAGTCCCGCCCACTCCTTCGTCCAATTGGTTCTTTACGCGAAGACCTCAGCGCGCAGGCGCAGCGCGACGTGCTCCTTGGCCTTGCTTCCTGGAAAACGCTGGGGCTCGGTGACCGGCCTGCGGTTGGGGCGGTGCTTTCCTTAACGTCTAAGCTTGGCCTCCGCCTTGCGCTTGCCTGGCTAAGTCCCAGAACCCCACCCAGCTGGCCTCACCCTATTCGCGTTCACAGCAGGAGCCCCCTGCGCTCTTGCGCGGCGCCTGCTCGCCGGTAGCAGCTAACTGGGTAAATCTCTGACAAATGGACTCCGTTTATTCGGATGGTGGATTTTTCATAAGTGTTTCTGTTGCCTGCGGCCCAGCGTGGGGCGTGTGTGTCCGTACTGTACGTACTTTCGTATGTATACAATGTTGGTCAAAGTGAGGCTTACAAACAATGTTATGACCCGATTTAGAATAGTCTTCCCACCCCCAAACTTGGCCTTCCGCTGTCAATCATGGGAATATCATTGGATTTGAGGCCGTCATTTGGCGTGGCAAACGCTAGGTCTGTTTTGAGGAAGTGGTTAAAATGTATTATGAGCTTTGGTTGCAGTTTAAAAAGTAAATAAATAAATAAATAATGTATATGGTATTGCCCCCTTTTCCCCACTGGGTGCCTGGAATCTCGGATAGTACTGTACCCTGTATGTACTGATATTTCCTATACTGTGCATACATACCTGTGATAAAGTTTAATTTATAAATTAGGCACAGTAGGAGCTTAACAAAAATAACTAATAAAACAATTATTACAATACACTGTAATAAAGGTTATGTGAATGTGATCTCTCAGGCTATCTTATTGTATTGTCCTCACCCATTTTTGAACCAGGTTTTCCTTGACGAACAGGGACCACTGTAGGTATTTAATTTCTTGTGTTTTTCTGATAATATTATAAACCCAGACGTCTGGGTGAGCTTGCCAACGTATGATTTTATGTTTTTAGAATAAATTATTGTTTTTACAATTTATTGAGTACCTTCAGTGTATAAGACTTTACTAGGTGCTGTGAATAAGCCAAACATGTCATACCCTCTTGGAGCTTATGGTCCGGTAAGGGGATTTAGAATGTAGGGAGGGAAACAGACAAGTAAATAATTACAGGTAAATGCTATGCAACAAATAAAGAGGGTGTTGTGAGAGAGGGAAAAAGACTGAAATAAAGACAGGATTACCTCGGATGGTCACTATAGACCTCTAAGGAGATGACACATGAACTGAAATTAGTGAAGAATTAGTCAAACACACCTCATTTTGTTCGGAGTTTAAAAGTGATGTTTAAAATTTAAGGTAAGGCATACATAGTGTGCCTACACTACCTACAGTAGAATGTATGGAGAATGTGTTAAAAATGTAGGTTCATGCCCTCCAGCCCAGGCCCACTGAATCAATATGGAGGGTCAGGCCTTAGAAATTTACATTTAAAAAAATTTTACCAGGAGATTTGAAGTACTGAGGTTTAAGAAGCACTGAGGGTTCTAACACCTCTGTGCTAACTCAGTTACTCCTGAGTTATATTTGTTCTTCAGATACCTTTTGTTGTGCTCCCTAGTTAGGATAAGAGAGGAGAAACAATGCATAGACCACGATGTTTTGGAGCAGTTTTCACTCTGCTTTAGATCCAATTCATGTAATTAATAGTCCCGTGAAACAAGTATTAATAGGCTGCAATGTTTTGCTTTGACATCACATATTTGGGAAACCTAGGATCTCATCTAGTGAAAAGTTACACCCTTCACCATAACGCAGATATACTACAAGACCACTGAGTATTATGGAACACCACATTGAATCATTATGTCCTTTGATATTTGGATGAGTTGTATTGATACATCCCCGCATAGTGATTAGAATTTCTTTTTGAATGCAGAGCTTACAGATACTGATTTTATAAATGCTAAATGTTATATAGTCATAACACAGCCTTTGACCATGGAAGGGGTAAATGAAGCTCCGTTATTACAATATTCTTATATTTCTCATGAAGTGGTACAGTCGTAAGACTATGTTAAGAATGCAATCCCTGCTGCCCTCCCCAAAAGTTAACTGCAAACTGAAAAGCCAATAATATGTTAGAATGGCATGCAAGGAAATACACAACCCGAAAGAAGGCAAGAAAGGAGAAATGAAAAAACAAAAAGCAGTCAAAAAGTAATAATAAAATGGGAAAACTAAATATAACTGGATGTATAATTCCATTACATTTGTTTCATGTAATTTTTATGTTTAAAAATTCCCCTTAAACAGATGTCAAAGTGGATTTTAAAAAACAAAAGTAAACAAAGATTGAGCTGCATGTGGATGGCAAGGCTGCACTTTAAATATAATGACGTACAGGTTACAAGTGAATAGATGGAAATGGAAACAATGACAGGACACTTCAGAATTTGGTACCAGAGTTTGTTGATATCAGACAGTATTAGATATGTAGACTTTAACATAGGGGTATTTTATAATGATAAAAGGTCAATTTTTCAGGAAGACATAAACATCATAAATTTACATGTTTCTAATAACAGCTTCAAAATATGTGAAACAAAAATTAACAAAAAATAGGCAAATCTATAAACAAGTAGGAAATTTTAACTGCTCTTTCAGCAATTGATAGAATTAGGCAAAAAAGAAAAATCAGTGAAGAAATGGAGTATCTGAACGACAGATACCTTGAGCTAATTGCTCTGTAATGAAGCACTACCCTACCCCACGAACTACAAAATACATATTCTTTCCAAGTACATGTGGTAACTTGACCAACATAGAACATATCCTTGGTGGTAAAACAAGTCTTAATAAATAAAAAATGCTACTATAATATCTAACAATCACACTCTTTGGTATTTACCCAAAAGAGTTGAAAACTGTGCCCACACAAAAGCCTGCACGTGACGTTTATAGCAGTTTTACTCATAATTTCCAAAACTTGGAAGCAATCAAGATGTCCTTCAGTAGGTGAATGGATGAACTGTGGTATACCCACACAATGGACTATTACTCAGCCCCAAAAAGAAATCAGCCATGAAACCATGAGAAGACATGGAGGAAACTTAAATGTATATTACCATGTGAAAGAAATCAATATGAAAAGCCTGTATACTGCATTTTGCAACCATATGACATTCTGGGAAAAGGTAAATCTATGGAGAAAATAAAAAGATCAATGGTTGTTGGGGTGGGGTGAGATGAATAGAAGGAGAACACAGGATTTGGGGGCAGCAAAAATACTCCATTATAATACTATTAAGATGGATACTACTGCACAGGTTCCCAGGTATGGTGGGAAATTATGAACAAACCCAGCTGCCAAAGTGCGAATCTTGTGAAACAGACCACTCACACAGCATGTCAGGCAAAGGGAATATGTTACTTGCATACAGGCAGCAAGGATAAACAAAAGCCTAGGATGCATGGTGAGCTCAGGAAAGCTGCCCAAGGCGCATGGAGTTTTCATCTGCCCCATTTTGCAACATGGCTGTGGGACCCCAAAAGCCCTCTGCTCTGGGTTTTATACCCCAGCATGACAGGGCTTATTATGCACAAGTGTTGTAGGATATCCTGTTCTAGGAGAGATGAGGACAGAGCCAGGGTTTTCCAGACATTTTCTCCTTATCGCAGAATGTTGAATTCTACTTAAGAATTATGAGCACAAGGGGGAAGAGCCAGGTAGTCCAAGGCCATTCAGAGACACGCCCTCCTGCAGGTATGCAGATACGTGTCATTACACATTCATCCAAACCTATGGAAGGCACGACGCCAGAGTGAACCCTACTGAATCTACTGACTTTGGGTGATTCTGATGTGTCAATGTAGGTTCATCAGTTGTAACAACTGTACACTCTGGGGGGAGATGTTGATAATGAGGGAGGCCGTGCATGTGTTAGGCATATGGGAAATCCTTGTACTTTCCTCTCAATTTTGCTGTGAACCTAAAACTGCTCTAAAAAAAGTCTTAAAAAAAGATTCAAATCATACATTGTTTTCTCTGACCACTGTTAAATTAGAAATCTATAACATCTAGATATCTAGGAAATTCCCAAGTATTGAAAATTAAGCAACATACTTCTATAATCCATGGGTCAAAGAAGAAATCACAAAGGAAATTATAAAAGGAACTTAACAGTAGAGAAATAAAGTATATCAAACTTTCAGATACCACCCAAAAATAGTTAAAACCATTTATTAATGGTTTTAATTATGGTTAAAACCATTTATTAATGGTTTTAATTTTAAAACACCAAATCTGCAAAAATATATATCAAGGAGAACTCTCATACATGGTTGGTAGGAGTGTAAAATGGCATAGTCCCGTTGGGAAAGGTTTAGTAGTTTGTTATAAAACTAAGGATATGCCATCCTATGATTCCACAATTCTTATTCTAGGTATTTCCTAAAGACGTGAAAATGAATTCAGGAAAAGACTTGTACAGGAATGTTTATAGCAGCTTGATGCATGAAAAACACATCATGGTGAGTGAAAGAAGCCTATGCAAAAGAGTGCGTGCGATACAATTCCATTTACAAGAAGTCCTAGACAAGGTAAAACTAACGTATGGTGAAAAAATCATAACAGCGTTTGCTTCTGGGGGTGCAGATTGAGAAGGGGGGTGAGGGGGCTTGGAGTGAAAGTCATGTTCCGTAACCTGACAGGGATTGCGGTTGCATGATGGTCTCAGTCACTGTGGGCTGCTGTAACAGAATACGACAGACTGGCCGGCTTAAACAGCAAACTTACTTCTCACAGTCCTGGAAGCTGGAAGGGGGAGATCAGGGTGCCGGCGTGGTCAGGTTCCTGGTGGAGGCCCTGTCCCTGGTTTACAGATGGCTCTTTCCCCACTGGATTCTTGGGTGGCCAGCGGGGGAGTGAAAAGGACTAGCTTTCTTCCTCTTCTTATAAGGACACAAATCCCATCACAGAGGCTCCACCCTCCTGACCCAAGTGCCTCCCAAGACTCTGCCTCCAGATGCCATCACATTATGGCTTCAACGTATGAATTTGTGGAGGGGGGACACAGAATTCAGTTCACAGCTACAAGTGTGTACATTT